TAAAAGGATTCACATATTAACACGAATTTGGAACATTGTTGGCGTTTTAAATAGTTGAAAACTACAATGCCATGTCGCAGCAGACCCTTCTCTCCACAAACAACGCGATTGTTGTTCGGGCCCGCGTCACATTCGTGCCCACATTGGCCACGTCACTCGCCATCCCGTGCCAATGCATCGGCCACCGGCCCACCACGACACACTCTGGGCCACCTTGGCATCTCACGGTGTTGTCCAACAGCCACCATATCACACATTTGATTAATCTGGTATCATCTAATTACTCAGCAGAAAAAAAAAGGTAAGAATACTGCATTATTTTATCCTCATCAAATAATTCCAAAAAGAATATTAGGTACATTGTCGATCGACAACCAAAAAAACATTCTAAATCTATTGTTAGTGTTTTTGTTTTTTTTTACAAAATGACTAAAAAACTCTCTCTTAAATAAATCTGGACCAATTTTTGTGATAAGAAATACCGGACTAGTAATTCAAATGGAGAGTTCCCCACTACTAATAATTCAAAATTTAAAATGCCACTGTCACGTCGCAAGAATTTAGAAGAAAAGAAATAATTTTATTTTAAGTGTGAAGAACAAATGAAGTCGACAGAGGACGATGGTTAAATAAAGATGTGATAAGTTGGCGTGAACTGAACGGTTGGTGTATTTATAAGGAGTCAAAAGCGAAGGGTCACAGCTAGCATTGTGGATTTATTTTTAAAAAAAAAGAGGGGTACATAGACAATTTTTTTCCCCAATAGAAAGGGCAAATATGCGTCCCGGTATCTAATCATTGCCGACACAAGTCCAGACGCACCCATCACAAAATATCACCAGCTCCGATGAGGTTGGGTACTGACGGCAATCGGGAGTTGGTTCCCGTAGGTCATTGTGACCGTTGACCGCAATAATGTCCCCAAATAAAGACGCGTCAGGTTTCGATCAAATTTGCTCAATCTCGGAAATATATTGTCTAGTTTTTATTATTATGTTCATAAAACTATTTAATTTTTATTTATCATATTTAAATTTGATAATCATATTTATTCAAACTCATTTCCTAATATAAAAAATAGGTAGGCTTTAAAGTCACTGAATACTACTTTCCGAGAAATATTAAAATGAAAGTAATCTTGATTCTACTCATTTCAACTATATTCAAGATTTTAAAAATCAGTAGGTAAAATTTTAGTCAGAATATTTTGACATAAATCTTTTCCAATACTAAACAATCTCACATTGAAGCGATTTAGGTTTGGTTGAAAATAGCAAAGCTAAAAGAAATAAATATAGATAATTTGAAATAGTTTAAGTTGTTTAGTTGAATGGAAACAACATATACACTGGAAGTTTTTTTGAAAGTAAAATAAATTCAGTGCAAAGCGACTTAAATCATGAGTGCTCCAAATTAGGGGGTCAATTGTCGGGTCAGCAAGGTCGGGTTCGGGCTCGAGACCTGGACTGACTGAGAACATCCAAACGGGTCCGCCCTGAACTCCCGACACGGTGGCACAAATCGGTCAGAAAATCTCGAACCGGACCGACCTCGGCGGGAATTGCCGGTTGACTCCGACCGACCCGGCGGGTTTGCCAGGTTGGACCCGAACTCGCCGGTTTGGGTTCTGCCGGCGCCGGACGGCGGCAGAGGATCGGCGGGGTGACGGCGGGTGGCAGAGGGAGGCGGGGCGACGCGAGCGGGGCAGCACGCGGGCAGCGGGCGCGCGGGGCGGCTCGCGCGGCAAGCACGGCTGGCAGCGAGGCGAGGCAAGCGCGGTAGTAGGCGGGATTCTGAAATGTTTTTTTGAAATTAAACCTGTTCGCGTGTTGAACCAGACCCGAACGTTTTTTGAAACGGGATCAATTTCTTTAACCCGAACACCGACTCGCTTTTTGAAACTCGGTGGTTGGATTCAACCCGGATTTTCCGGGTTGGGATTTCAATAATGAACCGCTATCAAAATGCAGGTGTTGGGCTAAAGATAGCAGTAATAGTGAGATTTAAGATATAATTAAGAATCGATTCATTTTGAAACTCAAAACTTGAATAAAAACAATAATCTCAATTCATTTCAAATGAAGCTTACCAAACGACTTAGAAATTTTAATCGAATAAAACCCCCTTAAGCATTTCTGTATTGTGTCAGATTGCATTCAAATTTGTTCTAGTTGAATTAGGGTTTGTAATTCATAGGGGTGGCAATTCGGTCAACCGTCGCGTTTCGGGTCGAACCCGACCCGACCCGGACTAAACGGGTCAACCCGAACCCGACCTCATTTTGCAAACGGTCGGACATTTCAACCCTGGACCCAAACCTGGCCGGGTTGCTCGGGTTGACCCGACACGACCCGCGAACCGGCAGTGGGCGACTAGGCGAGCTGGTTCGCCGCGACTGCGCGGCGGTTCGACAGGACCACGCGCTGGCAGGGCACGCGGGGCATCGCGCGTGGCCGCAGGCGGGCACGCGGCATATCGCGAGGGGCAAAGCCGCTGGCTGATGCCATGCGGGTCACGCGGCCTCTGCGCTGGGCAGGCGTGGCACTCGCCGCAGCTCGGCAAAGCGGCGCAGTGGGGGCGCAAGGCGACGGGGCGAGGGAACCGCATCGCGCGGGGCAACGCGGGCAGTGTCGGTTTCGAGGCGGTGCAGCAAGCACGCGGGCGCTGCCGGCGCGGGCAAAGCGGGCAGCGGTCAGGGCGGGTGGAAACGGTGGGAAATTCAAAATTTTTTAAAATAAACGGTTTGCCGGGATGACCCGTCCAACCCGTCGGGTCAACACCGACCCCAACCCGTTTTTCAAACGGGTCAAATATGGCGAACCGAACCCGACCCGTTTTATCAATACGGGTCGGTTTCGGTCGGGTCAAATATAGATCACCCAGTAATTTCATAACCGATTTAATTAATAAAACGGATTGTTACCATTATCCGGTGTAATATCCTCTCTTAAGGGCCATCTCCAAACGACAAGCGATTCGGTGCATTTAGTAGTTTCCGCACACAGAATCCATGAGGGGCAAGTCATTTTCGTGTTTTGAACATATGCATATGCAAATTAGCTCGTACTGTCAATAACATATTTTAAAAAAAAAAAAGATAGAAAAAAATGATACACTAAGATTTTTTTTATGTTAAAAATAAAAATTAGTTGAAAATGGATTACTATTTTGCTACATCAATTACTATATATTTGGAGTGAAAAATAAGAATTTTTTTATTAAACAGCAGGCGAATCGCGATGGACCATATATCATACGCTAGGTTCACATGTACATACATCAATTTAAAAATTGGGCAATGCTACATACATACGCACTTTACCATCTATTTACATATCTAACATTTTAAAATTTTAATATTATACCACATATCATCTATATATTATTATCTATTATCAAATAATGACTTTCATATATTCATTATATTAGTCATATTTGATATGAAAGTAAATTATGGTGACATGTATGTTAATTAAAAACTTATATGTTAACATATATATAATAAAATAATATAAAAATGATATGTATGTAAATGAGTTCCTTAAAAAATAATGTGGCTCCTTTGATATCAAATTTGGGGAGGTTTTCAGCCTGAACCTTAATTATTTCAGATAACCGCCTAATAAATCCGAAGTCATACCATAGCCCCTGAAGGGGCCAATATAACCGGGACATCGACATCAATTTAGATTGCGGCCACGTCATCAAAATACTCTTGGTCCAATATATTAGATATAATGGCATCTGTATTGGATGTGCGGACTAATCTGAACACCGGATATAATAATTTGCCCCCTGAGAGGTTTGAACTCT